GTTATTAGGGTCAAAGGGAAAGATTACTTTGCCCTTTCACCTTAACTTTTCAAAATAGTTTATACAATCTTGCTCGGAGGAGAGAGTTGTTGTTAAGTCTGATAGATTTTGAAACTCTGGCATCTTATTTTTCTTTATTTCTCCCCCAATAATAGGCGACTATTCCTACTAATGGCAAAACTCCTAATCCTCCTAAAATCCAAGGTAAATAATTAGTTCTCTTGGGATGCTGAATGTTTTGTGTTTGTTGCCTTTCTAAATCTGCTAACTCTTGTTTTTTAGAGGCTAATTCGGCTTTTTGCTCTGCTGTTTGATTAGTAATTTGCTCTAATTGCTGGATTTCAGATTTCAGTTGGGCAATTCTGCTCTCTCTCTCTCTCTCTCTCTCTCTTGAGGTTGCTTTTCCTTAATATTTCACTTCTGCCTTATCTTTTTTGCTTCCTCTTTTCATATTCCGAGCGTGGTTTCCTCCCAGTCGTCGGGTTCGCTGCTGTGGTCTTTGGCTTTTTCCTCCTTAATATATTCCTCCATTGCTTTTAATCGCCGTGTGTCGTAATTCTTGCCACAATTGCTCGCTTCTCACTCATTCTTACATTTATCATTACAAAAAAATAAGGTGCTTGGATCTTGTCCCTCTATTCCCTTGCTGGGATATAAATATCTCACCTCTATGAATTGGCTATTTTCTTTATTACATTTATAACATTTCATATAGTTAATTTTTAAGGATTATAATGGTTAGTGTAAAATTCTATATTATTGCCAAAAATTATTATTCTAGTTCGCTGCTTTCTGGCTAGTGAAAAATTAAAATCGATAAATGAAAAAAAGCCTTATCTTTCTCGAATCTGCTACCAAAAAAAAAACTATTAGTTCCTTTTTAGGTGAAAATTATGTAATATTTGCTACGGGTGGTCATTTATGAGAATTAAAAAAAAATGGGGTATATAATCTGGGCGTAGATTTAAAAAACTTTACCCCTAGTTATGAAATAATTGCGGAAAAAAAAAAGTTTATTACTTTTTGAAAAAACTATTTAACTAAAACGAATATTACTACCGTTTACTTGGCTACTGACCCCGACCGAGAAGGAGAAGCTATTGCCCAAGAAATTACGCAATTATTAGCACTTAATCCCACCCAATATCAACGTTTACTCTTTTACGAAATAACTCCGCGGAATATCCAAGAAGCCTTAAATAACCCTTTGCCACTGAATAAAGATTTGGTGGAAGCCCAAGTTTCCCGGCAAATTCTTGACCGGATGATTGGTTTTTGCCTAAGCACCATTTTACAAAAAAAAATCCACGCTTTATCAGCGGGTCGAGTGCAGTCCGTAGTTTTGAAACTAGTGGTAGAGCGGGAATTGCTGCTCCGAAAATACGAAAAAAAAAAAGATTACATTATTTGTGGTATTTGCCAATTAAACGAGCAAAAAATAACCCTTAAACAAGTAAGTAAAGAGGGAGAATTAGTTATTTACAAAGAGAAAAGCGAAGCCGAAAAAATGAAAAAACAACTAAGCTTACAATTTCAACTCACTAAGCGCCACCCAGAAAAAAAATTTATCCTCCCCAAGCCCCCTTTGATTACTTCTTTGTTGCTTTTTGAAGCCAAGTCGCAATTGGGTTTTTCGGTGGCCCAAACCACCCAAATAGCCCAAAAATTATACGAGGGAGTTTGATTAGAAAGTAAAAAAAAACAAGTGGGCTTAATTACTTATCCCCGTACTGACTCTACTCGCATTAATCGAGAATTCATTAGTCAAACCCATAACTATATTCGGGAAAAATGAGGAAATAATTATTATAATTCCCAACCCGCCTGAAAGAAAAAAGAAAAAGGGATTAATGTTCAGGGTGCTCATGAGGCTATTCATCCCACTTATCTTGATTATTATCCCCAGGAGATTAAAAGCTCTCTGACGCCGGCGGAACACCAGCTATATAAATTAATATTTAACCATACCTTGGCTAGTTTAATGAGTCCCGCCCAAGTCAATAAAATTACTTACAGTTTTCTTAATAATAATTACTATTTTGCTACTAGTGAAAGGATTTGCCAATTTGCTGGCTTTTTGGCTTGCGCTCCTGAATTTTACTTTCCTAATTATAATGTGAGATTAAAAAGCGAGTTGGAAAATATTACTCAATTAGAGGCACAAAAAATCGAAATCCAAGAATATATGGACAAAAAACCTGTGCGCTACAATGAGGGAAGTCTGGTTCAAGAATTAGAGAAATTAGGCATTGGTCGTCCTTCTACTTATAATACTTTTGGTCGCTTACTAATCAAAAGAGGATATGTAGAGTTAGACCCCAAAGGGCACTTTATTCCGACGGAATTAGGATTTTCGGTTAATAACTGATTACAGGAAAACTTTTCCTCCCTAATTAATGAAGGCTATACTGCTAGTTTAGAAGTAGAATTAGATAAAATTAGCCAAGGTCAAAATAGTCGCTATATATTCATCAAAGGCTTTTGGGAAGAGTTTTACCCGGCTCTGAAAAAGATTTACTAAGGATTGACCCAAACTCATTTTTCTATTAATATTTTGGCAATAATAACGATCCTTACACCAAAAAATTATGAAAGCCTTTAGAGTCCGTTTAAGTCTTTGCAACAATCATTCTCGCAATTCTTATTAAAATACTTAGATTTATCATAACTCCTGCTGGTGTTGTAAAAAGCAGTTCCGTTACATTTAGCACATTTGAGTACATCTAGACTTATGGTTATTTTTTAGGATTTAAACAATCGACGCACTTTTTGTTTCTCCCTCATACCTAAGAAGCCATGATTTTTTAGAAAGAGAATGGGATTCTTCTCTCTGTATTGAGTGTTAGGGAGTGATGTCATATATTATTAAAGATATGTTTATTAATAAAACTACTGTAAAACTTAAATATATATGAGTAAGGAAGTTAAAAAGAAACCCAATAATTCTCCCAAGTCCTCTCGGGATTTAACTAATTCTCGCACGGGAGAGCAAAAAGAAGTTAAACCGAAATTGCCAGAGCAAGAAAGTGATAAAAAAATTACCGAACAAAAGTTAGCTCAAGATAAAGAAGTTTCCCAGTTGCAAGAAAACGTTACTAATTTAAAAAAAGAAATTGAGTTTTGAAAAACAGGAAACCTTCGTTTGTTGGCCGATTTAGATAATCAAAAAAAATCTTACCTCAAAGAGATAAATGAGTTAGTAAAATATAGTAATGAGAGATTGCTACAACGGCTGCTCTTTTTTCCGGATAACTACGAAAGAGCATTACAAGTCAGCCAAAATGAAAAAGATCCCAAAATTCAGAATTTCCTGACGGGTTTTCGCATGGTTTTGACGGAATTCCAAAATATTTTAAAGAAAGAAGGAGTGGAGGAAATAAAAATTACCCTTTGCCAGGATGTTTACGATGACAAATTACACCACGCCTTAGAAGTAGAAGAAAACAACGATTATCCCGAAGGGACTATTTTACAAGTTTTCCAAAAAGGTTATCAAATTCACCAACGAGTTTTACGTCCCGCCGAAGTAAAAATTAGTAAGCCAAAAGAAGCCGAAAAAGAAAGGAAAGAATAATTATTTTGTTCTAATGGTCGGTGATTAGAGTTGTAATATTGTAACTTTAAGCAAGAGCAATAAGTAGTGTAAAAATATTGGTAATTATAGTTATATAGTCAGATTTTTATATTAATCGTCCTATTTTTTTCTTTTTCGCCCTTGAGTAATGTATTTAGTAGAAGGTTTGTTTTTCCGGCGTGTTTTTTTGCCTAAGGTTTTTTTTCCTCAGGGGCTTAAAGGCGATTTATGACCAATAGGGGCTTTGCCTTCTCCTCCCCCGTGGGGATGGTCCCGCGCGTTCATGGCCGCACCGCGGACAGTGGGACGAATATTGCGGTGGCGGTTCCGCCCTGCTTTCCCCTTTCTTACTAAATTGTGTTTTTTGTTGCCCAGTTCGCCAATAGTAGCACGACAATTTTCGTGTATCATTCTTACTTCTTTGGATGGCAAGCGCACTAAAACATATTTGCCTCGGTGTCCAATTATTTCCGCACTAGTGCCCGCGCTTCGGGCTAATTGCCCTCTTTTCCCTGGCTTTAATTCTACATTGTGAATAGCTGTGCCAACTGGAATATCTTTCAAAGGTAAACTATTACCAGGTTGAAGGGGAATGTTTTCTCCCTCCCCGCTCATTATAGTATCACCAACTTTTAACTTTTCGGGAGTGAGAATAAAACCATAACTACCATCCTGGTAACTAATAAGAGAAATAAAGCAAGTGCGATTGGGGTCATATTCAATACTTTTGACCTTTCCCAGCAGACCATTCTTCCCCTGACGTTTAAAGTCAATAAAGCGATAAAACCTTTTATGTCCGCCCCCCTGATGACGAACAGTAATTTTCCCTTGATTATTGCGACCCGCTTGCGGTTTGCGAATACGAAGCAGTTGACGGGGAGTGGCGGGGGGGCGGTGAGTTAATTCTTCTCGATAATTAAGAAGGATAGTATTACGGCGAGAGTTGCTAGTAGGTTTAATTATTTTCATTATTTAATTTTAGTAATAATAAATTATTTTTCTTAAATTTAGATTTTGCTTTCATAAGATTTTAAAAACTCGTGTCTGACATTATTACAATATGCAAAATAAATGCCCGCTTTTTCTTTTTCATAATAATTTCAACAATGTCAAAAAAAATCTTCCAAATTTTTCTGTTGAAGCTCTGTAATTGCTCTGTCAATCACTAACTTTAATTCTTCGAATGTTCTCGGCTTGCTTTTTTCTACATACTTTCTTAATAATATTGAAACACAATTCAACTGGATTTAGTTGAGGAGAATAAGCCACTAAATATTTAGGTTCAATTTTCTTGCTAATTAACAGTTCTTTAATCGGAAGCAAGCCTAGTTTTTTACAAGCTCCAACAGCATGGTGAATGGTAGCATTGTCTAACAAAAGATAGTATTTTTCGTTATCAGGAAGTTTGATATCTTGCAAAAAATTATGAAAATCCTTAGTTTTGGCTCCTCCTTCGATAAGTTGATAATGAATTACTCCTTTTTCTTTTTGATTTTTATCGATAGTGTTAGAAATATTTTCTTCAAATGATTGAAAAAGTTTGAAGTTTTTGTCGCTTTCTAAAGTCTATTCGATAATTGTTTAAAAGTAAAGAAGTAAACAGAGAACCAACAAAAATTGGTTTAAAATAGTCATTATGAAAAATGAAAATGCTTCTAATTCTCGGGAACCAGAAAAAATCCAATTACTCTACCTTGAAACGGGGCTTTTATGACCTCATTATAAAAACAAAAAAGCGTGGAGTGCTAGTTCTCTGACTAAAATTTTAAAAGAAATAGAATATAAAGAAATACCTGAGCATATTCTCCTACAAGCTGCTGCTCGTGGCAAATCATTCCACCAAACTATTCAAGAGTTCGTGGAAACTGGTAAATATCCAATTTTTGTTGATTTAGCAGAAACAACTACCCTTAACAAGTTAAATAAGCAAGTTCACGAAACAGTTAATTTTCTTAAAAAAAATAAATTATTAAACCCCAGTCGCTTCCTAGGAAATGAAAAATTACACTATGTTTTTTATAAAGGAGAATTGTTGGCCACTTACATTGACTTAGAATTTGCCGAACATATTATTGAATTAAAAACTAATAATGTTAAAATTAACGAGAGCCCTTTCGCTTTGCTAACTTTTGAAATCCAATTACTTATTCAATATCTCTGCACTAATAAAAATATTTATCTGTTATGGAGTACTGGTCAGGGAGTAGTTTTTCACCAATTCAAAATCTCCAAACACTCTTTAAAAATGCTCGATATTTTGCTTGCTTTGGCGCAAAATAAAGATAACTATTCGGCAGAGGTAAAAAAGTCTATTATTCAAGAAATAGTAAAAAATTATTATTCACCCAAAAAATTAACTTAAACGAAATAGGCAAAATTAGTTCGTGGCTTTTTTATCTGCTTTGGGTTTGCTTTTAATTAATCTCCTCTACTCTCTCCCTGTTAATATAACCAAAACCACCCAAAGAAATATCATAACTACACTCCCTGTCGCCATGATAAATCTGTAATATAATTTGCATAACTCTCAATAATACCAGTGTATTCACTCTCGACTAATTGGAAACTCTGAACTATTTTGGTGATTTGTTGAGTGTAGGTTGGTTGTTCTTATGTTTGTTAGTTGTTTGGTTCCTAGTCCGTTCTTTAATATATACTCTGTATATATTATATTTATTTTGTAATCAAATTATCAATTGAAAAATCAATTAGAATTAGTGGGTATTTGGTAAAAATTATTAATAAAAGGTATGGCTAATAAAGTTTGTGCTAATTGTGGCAAAAAGTTTTTATTATCTTACTGCTCTAATCCTGACTGTAAGCAGTGAAGAGAACAATTAGCCCAAGATAGAGCCAATAAACTATTTAAAGAATTACGGAGATAAATAATGAATTTGATACCAAAATAAAAGATAATAATTTTAGATGCCGAAGATGTAAAAAAATATTGGAAATTAAAAGATTATGTGAAGTAAGCGAAAGGAGCCGTATATTAGACCGTGTTATAAATGTGGAAAAAATATTCCCGCCAACGAAGAAAGATATGTTAAGGATACAGGAGATACTATATCTTACTTCTACCATCTGGACTGTGGAGAAAAGGAATGAAAAAGACATCAATTATCTATTAAACAAAAAGCCTCCGAGTGTTT